CTCTATTGGGGCTAACAATAGGATTTAAGCCAATGTGAAATGATTACAACTGCAACCATGATTTGAACACAGCTGTTGTGCAATAGCCAAAAAAATACAACTACAGCAAGTACAAGTACATGCTCTCAGCCTCAGAGAAAGGCAATGGCAAGCCTCCTCTGAACAAATCTCACCAAGAAAACCCCCATGATAGGTTCACCTTAGAGTCACCATAAGTCTGAAACAACTTGAAGGCACACAACACACACACACAAACACAAATATGTATGAGGGAACTTACACAGGTGTATGACTCATGGAGGATTCCAGCTTCTACCATCACCAATGAGATTCAGGTTTGCAGTCATTAATGACGGAATGTGACTCCAAAATACTACATTTCAGCCAGGCAACACCCCAAAGAAGAGGTTTTTGAAGTGCTGTAGATCAGGGAACTGAGAAATGCCATCTACAGGACTTCCCTTGTTGCAAGGCAGGCACATTGGGAGAATCAGTTGCAGTAGGACTCTAAGGTTCCCTTCCACTGACTGTTCCCATTGTTTCCATGACACAGTGCCCCAGTCTGCAGCACTTCAGAAACCCTTTAGATGAGATGTCATTGTGTTGGTAGGTTTTGGGGGGATGAAAAGGTAGGTTTTTGGGGGGTGGCATCCTGTAGTTTTGGGGATCTTTATTATCATTATTACATCTAATGATTTTTGTCCTCCCTCCAACACCAAAACTGCTCAAAACTGGCATAAAATATAGTTTGTCCAGAAAGAACACATTGAGAAAGATCCTTCATGTGATAATAGAGGATCTTGCCCAATGTGTTCTTTCTGGACAAACTCATACTGATCCTCAGGTACAGCAAAGTATTCAGCACAATTTGGAGGGAACAAGAAAGGCCTGGGGATGGGATGACCTGACAGATCCCTGGTAATCAAATAGTCCCTCCTTTTTTCCTCTGTTCTCCATCCTTGACGCTGTCAGTATCATTTTGGAAATTTTTTATTTACCTCCTGGCATCCCCACATCCTCATCTTGATTCTTATTCCTTCAAAGAAAGAAATACTGCTGTGAAATTGCCAGTAACCTTATAATTGTTCCATTGAGCAGCAATATCCCAGTGGGACACAGCACTGTTTGACCATTAGAGAAAAGGTACTTGTTTTCACTGTTGGCATGGAAATCCATTCCAAGACTGCCAGTGAGATTAAGAATAGTGTCAACTACAGGCAGCCAGGGAATAAGATACGTTTCAAAGCACCAGGTACCTTGTGGGAGCAAATCCTGTCCTTCAGATTGATGCAGTGATCTTGCAGATCTATGATCCCTTAGGCAGCCCTGAAAATCAGCATCATGCTATATTGAGTTACACTGAGGAGGAAGATGGTTTCCGTTATCAGATAGGAAGACTCACAAGAGGATAGGGAGTGAGCTGAAGACTGCTGATAATATTGTGAAATTATGCAAATGATTCCCTGTGTAGTAAAAGTGGCCCCTGCCACCAAGTAGATGGGTTTTATAATCCATGTGAACATCGTAACCAAATGTTAACAGTCATCCTGTGGCATTACAGATGGAAATAATACTTGAAAATATTCCCCCCAAATGGTTGAGAAACATATGTTTTAGGTGTTGAGAAATCCTAAGGAGAAGAATCTTGAAATTGCAATCATCTTTGCAGTTCAGGATTTATTCTGTGGGGAAATCACATTTGGTTGTTTTTAGATAGAAAACAACATTTTCTATACAAGAAATAGCACTTTCCATGCAGAAAATGTTTGTTTGATTGTTGAATTCTCATCATTTGTAATTGTCTTTTTTGTTTGTTTGTATTAATAACCATATTAATAAAAAGTATAATAATAAGTTAAATTTTGTCAGTTTCGCAAAATCAAATGAAATTGTACCCTGTCTGTACTGGCCAACTTCAGTAGATCAAATCCTTTTCAGCATGGAGAGGACTGTGTTGTATCTCTCTCTCCTGGAGATGTTAAAGTTGAGGAAACTCATGGGGGGAAAAAATGGCAACCTTAATCCAGATTGACATGCTTGGAAATTCAAAGTCAGGATTTCGAAAGTTAGGAATTCAGAGTAATGGGGGTAGATAAATTAATCTGTTAGTACTGGCTAACTCTCAGGGTTTTTTCAACTGTGAATATAAAGAGACTCAGAACTTCAAAAGAATTTACCTAAATGCTTATAAAAACTAAATTGAATTTAAATGCCCCATTTCCATCTCTATAGGACACTGGGGAGAGAAGAGAGCTCAGAGCTATGCAAAAGGATCCAGGTTCAATCCTTGGCATCTCCAGCTAAAAGAATAAAGTAGCAGACTGTATCTGCACTGCAGAAAAAAAATCCAGTCTGACACCACTGTAACTGCCATGGCTTAGTGCTGTGGAACCCTAGAGATTGTTGTGGCACCTGAGTTCTCCGACAGAAAAGGCTAAATATCTCAGAAAATTACAATTCTCAAAATTTCATAACATTGAGCCATGGCAGTTAAAGCAGTGTCAAACTGGATTATTTCTGCAGTGCAGACAGCCCCGAGGAAGACCTCTAGTCAAAAATCTACAGATCCTGCTGATCAGAGAAGGCAGTAATAGGCTAAATAAACAAATATATTGTATAATGCAGTTTCCTATTGATGTGCACTTCAACAACACTCCAAATTTGGATTCCAAGATCATCAATCCATTGAATCAGAAGGTATTTTGATCTCAGGAACTTTGCATTTCACTTCGGCCCCCTGAACCCTACTCCCTTTGTGGCACAAGGATGCTGTTGATGGTGCTTTGCTGAATTTTTGTAATATATATATATATTCAGCAGTTCATTTTAGGTGGACTTGAAATAAAGAAAGAGAAGGAAATGGCCTGGGGTGAATATCAGAGAAATTTTTCATTCAGGAGTGGGGGGTCAGGGATTACATGTACATGTGTGAAAGGTGGCCAAGGGGTTTTTTCTTTACTTTTTACTTAAAATAACAACAGCCATATTTTCTTGCTGCAGTGCAGGGCTCAGTTTCTGCAATGTTCTTCTGGAAACATGTGACTTTTGTCTGTCTTCTGAGAGCCCCACACCACAGCAAAAATGCTCCTAAAATGGATGGTTGTTTTATGAGTAGAACCTCTCTAAAATTTGTATGCATTTTGGTACACATTTCCTGTAATTTATGCAGTTGTAGCATATTCTTCTTAATGTATGCACATTTTTCCCATTAGCAAAAGCAATGCATTTTGAAATATATGTATTTTTATGCAAATATACATCTGCAAATAATTTTAAACCAATAATATGATATTCATAGTTTCCCCATGATGGAGGAAAGCTTTAAGAAGAAGTTGGGAAAAAGTGTCCCAGGACTCTATTTTTGTGGCCCTTGAAGCCTCCAATTGAGAAAATGACAGAATATAAATAAATATCATCATCATAATCATTTGTATTTCTTCTTAATCCACCTTGAGTAACAGTTTCAGTATAAAGATGAGGCATAAATAGTGCAATACAATACATGTACGGCTACTGCCACACTTCAAAATTTATTCAATTTGATACCATTTTAACTACCATGGCTCCATCCTATGAACTCCTGGGTTTTTTAGTTTATTATGGCACAAGGGCACTCTGAAAGAGAGGGCTATATCTCAGCAAACTATGAATCCTAGAATTCCATAGTATTGAGCTATGGCAGTTCAAGTGGTGTCAAAATGCATTATTTCAGTAGTGTAAATACAGCCATAGTAAACTTTTCCTCATCAAACATAAGAAAACTGATGATTATTTCTTATATTCCTATTCCCTAGTCATCATGACCACTGACTATGAAGCTAAGATAGATCCACAAGTTCTAAAGAGAGTTTATGAATCCTCTCCACTCATTATTGTTGGTATTACCATATACTTCCTTCTTCAAATGTTTATATTTTAACTAAATAGTTTAATTGGATAACTGGATGCCCTGCTTCTTTTCTTTTCTTTGCAGATTTACAATCATGACTCCAAAGTCTATCGCTTCCTTTGGAATTGCTACATGCAGCTGTGAATATGGCATTTTCATTCCCGTAAATGAAAATTACAGCTTTAGACTGCATCCTTATTTATAAACCTGTCATAAATCCATTTAAAAAACAATAACACCTGTCTACTAAACCAACTGCAAGCATACAGTATTATTGTATTAAATTAGACAGTGTTCCTTGAGCACCTGCCGATTCTTCCCCATCACTCAAACACATTAACTTATCTCTTTGACCTTGATTTATTACTTTAGCGTACAAACCTAGCACAAGGAAAGAATGCCTCCCTCGAGTCCCATCCTCCATGTAAAACTGCTACAGGAGACTTCTATGAAATGGCCTCGCAGAAGAGTGATATGGCAACCAAGGTGGGAGGACAGTCACTTCAAATCATTTATCAAAGCATTAATCAACCATGGAAGAGTTTTCTGTGGTGAGCCAGCCTCTGTCAGCTTGAAATATGGGAGTGAGGAAGGTTTTAAAGGCCTCGTGAAATGCATGCCTGAGACAAAGGTAGGGGTGTAAGTGGGTGAGAAAGAGAAAGAGAGAGAGGTGTAATGGTGTGTTGAACTAGGGCTCTAGGAGATCAGGGTTTGAATATCTATTTAGGAATGGATACCCACCAGGTGACTTAGAGCAAGTCTTGTTCTCACTTGAAAGTAGTGGTTCTCAAATGGGTCAGAGACCCCAGTGGGGCACAAGATTTGAAGGCTCTGATCTCTCTTCTTCCTCCTCTTCTCAAACTTTTTAATGTTTAAAGTTTACTCATGAGTTGAATTAAATATTTAATTTACTTAAATAAGACTGTTCTAATATCAATATTGTTGTTTGTTGTTGTGTGCCTTCAAGTCATTTCCAACCTCTGGTGATCCTGGCCTAAGGCAACCCTATCAGAGGGTTTTCTTGGCAAGACTTGTTCAGAGGTGGTTTGCCGTTGCCTTCCCTGGAGACTGAGAGCATGTGACTTTCCCAAGGTCACTCAGTGGGTTTCATGGCCAACCTGGGAATCGAACCCTGGTCTCCAAAGTTGTAGCCTAGCACTCAAACCACTATGTCTTGCTGGCTGATATGAATGATATTATTTCCTTATGAGATATTTAAAATATGAATATGCATGAATGAAAATATACACATTAAATAAACAAATATACTGTGCCAAGGGGGGCAGCAACATTCACATGTAGATGTAAAGGGGGAGGGGGGTCCCAAGGGTACCACTGCCTAAGAGGAAGGCAATGGCAAATCTGAATAAATACTGCTAAGGTAACCCTATATCAGGGTAAGCCAGAGTCATTCTGAAGACATTTAACAGCAATATGTATATACACATAAGTGTGTTGTCTATCTTTAGAACCAAGGTGAGAATGAACATGGTGTAGTGGTTTAAGCATTAAACTAAGACACTGGAAGACCAGGGTTCAAAGCCCAGCTCGGCCATGGAAACCCATTCGATGATCTTGGGCAATTCACACTTTCTAAGCCTCAGAGGATGGAAATGGCAACCCCCCTCTGAACAAATCTTGTCAAGAAAACCCCATAATAGGTTTGCCTTAGGATTGCCATAAGTCATAAAAGACTTGAAGGCACACAGCACCAACAACAACAACAATTGAGGTGACATCTCTTTCATGTACTCTGGATGCAAGTGAAGATTTCTGGATTGAGGGAATTAACACCATGTGGTCTCCATCTAGAGCATCATCCAAAATAACATCATCTGCTTAAGAATATTGGCAATTTTAAAATGCCACTTGTATGTGGCTTAATTTTGTTATTCAGCAACTGAAAAAAAGTCAGAAGCCAGATGGCTTTGTTAATTTTTAAAGTTCTCTTTGTTAATCACTCTGACCAATAACACTGTTCACCTTTTTTGACTGCGTACAAGAGAGTTCCTCAGTCCCCAACTCATTCTTTGTCTTCTTTTTCTGTTTTGCCCAAGCTGGCAAAGTTCAAAGGAGTTCAGAGACACAGGGAGAAATTTATATTTGTCCGAGTGAGCTTCAGCGGATTAGAAAATATTGCTAGAAGGAAGCTGTTGTGGATTCATGAGAGAGAGAAACAGCCCCTCCAGCTATGCGAGAGAAGCAGTCCAGAAGAACGAGAGAACAGAATAGGGGCAGAATGAAGCTTCATAAATCAAACTCAAGTTGCATACAACTGTGTTTCCTCCAAAGGAAACTCAGTCATATAAATCTCTTTTCCCCAACATCAGCCATGGTAATGCTTAAGGGGAAAATAAATGACAGGAGCCATTGCTAGGTGACAGGAGGACAAAATCCCATAGTAATATCTTCAGGACATACAACATCTTGTATTATAGGTATTTTAGGGGCATTCCATCGTGGGTCATTTTTGGATTGTCGCCATTAAGCAGGATATAAATAAATGTTATTATTATTATTATTATTATTATTATTATTATTATTATTATTATTATTAAAATCTCAGAACCATGAAAACTGCATATATCAAGAAGTCAACTTGAGAAAGGAGCTGAGCTTAGCAGTGCTTCACCTAATGCCAATGTTCAGTTCTCTGCAGATAAGTCTGGGAAGGATCTCTCTGTGAAGCTGGGGGGAAAGCTGCCAGTTGGTGTTGACCATACTGAGTCAGATGGTCTGAGATTTGTGTCTACAACAGTGTTATACCAGTTTCATAGGTCTGATCTCCACTGCAGAAATACTGCAGTTTGTCACTACAGTGCCATGGCTCAATGCTATGGAATTCTGAGATTTGTCATTTTGTGAGATGTTTAGCCTTCTCTGTCAGTGAGCTCTGGTGTCATGACAAACTACAAATCCCAGAATTCCACAGCACTGAGCCATGACAGTTAAAGCAGTGTCAAACTGCATTGTTTCTGCAGTGCTGATTAGACCATAGAGTCAGCATGGCTCCTTCCTAAGGGATTCTGGGATTTGGTGACATACTTTGAATTGTCTGCTAGAGATCTCAGCCAGAATTTGGGATCAGGCTGGAGTTATGCATCTGTAGCAGATCTGACAGTGGCATTATTGCAACCACCAGAAGGAAGACCCCATTCTTCTTCCTTTCCACAGCTTCACTGGCTGGGGTTGGGTGGATGAGTCTTCTTCTCATGCCGCAATCCCAAACAGAATGGGCCCCTTTCTCTCTATGCGGCTGCTACCTGGTAAGGGGAGGCACAAGCAAGGAGACACTACTTTGTTAATGTCTACATTGGTTACTTAATCCAATTTGACACCACTTTAAGTGCTGTAACTCCATCCTATGGAATTTTGGGATTTGTAGTTTTGCAAGGTCTTTAGCCTTCTCTGCCAAAGAGTGCTGGTGTCTCACCAAACTACAAATCCAAAGATTCTGTAAGATGGAACCACAGCAATTAAAGTTGTGTCAAACTGCATTATTTCTACAGTGTAGGTGCACCCTCATACTCCTAGAGTATAATATCCATTTTGAGGTGTGGGGAGGGTTTTTTACTAAAAAAATTAAAAATGAGGGGGAGCATGGCAGCACAGCAGGAGGAGGGCTTGTGTCCTCTCAGGTTTCACAGGAAGCCATCACACCCAAACGTTGCCAACTCCCTGAACTACACTTTCATTTTACTGCTGAGAAATCCAGAAGGTAATATGAAATAAGGTAATAAAAGGGGGAAGAAAAATCAAACTGCAGAATATTTTCTTAATTTCCTTTTGACCTGGTAAGCACACTTCCTTTTTGACAGACACATTATGATTCTTGCCATAGTGTTTCTTTTAAACCATTAAAAGAGGAAATTCCCCAGACTAGCTTGCTGTCAGAAAGGACATACAGAAGTATAACCAGGCCAAAAGATTGCCCAGTTTGGAACATGTCATCTCTGACATCTGTATAAGGAAATTTTGGTGCCTCCTGCCAAATAATCTTGATGGAATAAATACTGACACAATTAGTGTTTTTGCCCGTCAAGAAATGTGGGATTTTGAATTAGGTTGACTCCACTTGCATTGCCATGTAGATTCTATTCATACTATTGCAACCAATATGCACCCCTTCTTTTTACACCCTATGAATGAACAATTTTTTCTCAGAACAAAAATATGGCAGAGAAACAAGCTGAAGTCCAATGTTGATTATCATGCAGAATTATAAAAGAGGCATACAACTCATATATGTGACAATTTTGTTGATCAGAATAGACCATCAACTTCTGCTTCTGTTCCTATTTGTTTATAAAAGCCCCCAAACATGGTAAAATTGCCCCTCATGACCCCTATGGAACCTGTTAGGCTAAAAATTAAAAATTAAAAAAAAAGGAAGTACAGGGGCTGTTGGTCACATTGTCCTTTTCTCAGAACAGATTATTTTGCCCTGCCAAATAAATTTTAAAAATGTATGCATTGCAGTACTTTAGCCTCAGAGTAGTCATTCCATCACATGTTTCAGCTGACTTCTTATTATTTAGAAGTCTTCATATCTCTGGTTATTACCAGTGATGTGGCCAAAGATTGTTAAGTAGTAGCCCAGTTCAGAGGATGTGAAATTGTCCGGCTCGTAATGCATTCGTTGTGCATTATGAATTGAGTTCCATTTCCCCAAGAGGTCCTTCTCAGAGTAGTTCAGCTCCAGATCAGAATTTAAAATGAGATTTTGCTCATGTGTGATCAGATATTGCATTTTCCAACCCGTTTCCAACCATAGCTGATGCTGGGAATTGTATTTCTCAAAGGGCAGTGCAGTTAGGCACATAAGTGTTTAATGCATCATAAGAAAACTCATAAATACTAAAACAATTCCAAACTTTGCTGAGAGGAGTTTATACATCACCAGTTATCCAGAGGTATCAGAATATTCTTTGAATATTGAGAAGGGGTTTCTTCAGATTCAGATCAAGTTTGAATTTACTTTGGCTGATCTAGACAGACAAGGATTTCTAAACTGATGTGGGACTCCCACAAAGCAAACTGCATTCAGAATTTCTTTTGGTGTCTTATACATGAGTAACTTCCCCTATAGAAGTGGTTATACATTTGTGTATGGTGCAAAACATCTGCATTCTATTCAAGGCTGTGGAAGAAAAGTTGCACAGGCCCCACTGTGCATGCAGGTATGTGTGCACATTTGATTGTGCATTCAGTTGCACATGTGGCTGTGCATTCAATTGCACAATGTTGTCCTTCAACACAAAGGTTGTATACCACCATCAAACCCTTCATGACCTTGTGAGAATGAAGGCAAGCTGGACTATAACATTCCATGATCATCTTTTGGACTCTCCACCAATGCCCTCTGCAATGCCAGGAACAGAGTGGAAAGCCAAGCTGAGCTGTGGAGTTGTGGATGTAATGGTCAGAATCCTTTTTGGGAATTATGTGTTCATAAATTGACTTAGGTCTACATTAATTAGAATTGGGAAGTTCAGTAATATTGGTATTCAGTAGAGTGCTGCTGTTATGTCACTATGAAACACATCCAGTAAAGTGAGTGTTGTGCAATGGGACTGATGCACAACATAGCTGATGCACAACAGGATGTGCCATGCATCAATCCTGATGAGCATTACATCAATCCCAATGTGCAATGCATCAGTCTCAAAGCACATCAAGGACCACTACACATCAAACACTTGCTGCTGTCCTGTTATGTAACTTCACAACTCAGGGTTCATTAGCATCTCTGCTATGTAGCTAAGTATACATAAAGTTAAGGGTTCCTCTGAAAACTGGAACTCATTGATATCAGAAATCTATTTCAAGAGTTCCTTCAGGATAAAAGTGTTGAAAGGCTGCTCTAATCACTATTGGGTAGGGCCATGTACTTCTTCCTATACACTGCTTCTTCCATCCAAATAACCACCTCCCAGTGCTGCTTTGCAGCCATAGCCACAGAAGGTAAAATTCACCCTTAAGTAAAGGTTGCATGTAGAAACAACAGTACCAAAACATTGTCACTGATAAGAAAATCATTTTCCCATAGAAGTGAAATGAGCTCTTCCCCCCCCCCTTTATAAAATAATGATAAGAAGAAAATTAGGAGAGTATGTACAGCCCAAATGGCCAATTAACTAAATATAGAGCTATTTGGATAATTGCTATATATTCAGCAGTGT